CAGCCCTGTCAGTCACTGGGAGCTTGCTCCACCTCGTGCTCAGGTGTTTTTATAAAATGACATAAAGGGAGGAGAATTCCTGAGGACTAACGGAAACAGCACTCCTAATACTGAGCGTGCATCTGTTAAAATGACATCAGTAAAAGAGCAAAATAGAGGACATAGTGCAGCTATAATGATGAAAAGCTACATGGTTTTTTTCCAACAAATGTTCTCCCATAGCACCTACTTTTCTGTAGGCTCAGCACCTGCCTTCATGGGGAGGCTATTGCAAAATAAGTGAGTGTGTGTGAGGGTGTGAATTTAAAACAATGCTCTGAATCAGCTCCTTAAACAGATGCCTTTATTTGTCACAAAGAACGTCTTTTGATCATTCCACTTAACCCACCTCCAGAACTGGCTAAATGTAAGCAGCACTCAGTAGAAAAAGAGTGTGTCCAAGCTGGATGTTAATACTGCTCTGTAGCCACTCTGGACTATTTCTCTATTGCAGCCATGTTCTGCGATAAGAATAGCTTCTTGGTTCTCCAAGTCTTGTATTGTGCACCCAAAGTGGAAGATCTATTTATTGTGTGAACAGATTTGTTTCCTTCTCCATTCTAATTTAAAACATATTCAGTGAAGCAGGGGCCCTTTGAAAGTTTGGATGTGTAGCACAGTGATGGCTTTTGATTTTAAGATCTGAGTCTTTGTTTCTCAAGTCGCCATGGCCCAAACGCAGGCTATCAAAAAGACCTTAACTTTAGAGGATAAATAATGCAGCCGGCGGTCTTCTTTCTCCTGGTAAAACTGAGTTGCCTGTGCTAACAATAAAGCTTGCATGTCCAGTAAGTGAAGCTTTGTTGGGGCACCCTCTGAGGATATGGTAAAGGCCATGCCAAACTTTTCCTTCACCACTGGGTAAGAAGCAGTTTCCCATCTGTGAGAAATTTTTGTGTGAGATTTAGTATCAGTCCAAAGTAAGCCAAAATTGCCTCTAACCAGAATTCTGCCATAATGGGATCTCGCAGCCCAGCGGCTCCGGGATCTCAGGAAGGGGTTCTGCCTTTGCTCTGTGAGCTGCAGACTACTGTGTGCGTGCTACTGCACAGCCAGACCTTTACAAAGCTGCATCCTTATGGGTACTCTGGGGCCGCAGACGGACCCCATACGAGCCCACAGAGGCACAGAAAGGCTTTGCGCCAGACTAACATAATGTTACAAACTACTTAGCAGAACATGGGAGATACAAATCTGAAGAAATAACAACTACATTTATATACCTTTGTTTTATTTTTATTTCTCATCCTTCTGAAGAGTTGGAAAGGGTTTCTAAAGTGTTCAACTTCTTTTTCTAGTGATAGTTTTCCTTCAGAATCATACCTAGGTAAACTTGTTCTCTCTGTCCTTAGAGGGTTACCTGATTCAGCAGAAATTACTGCAAGAAAGTGTGTCTTTATTTCCTTTTTTTCATCTGAAGCTTATTATTTAATCACTGTCAAAACAGTTTTGCATCCTTCTCCTTAACAACAGTAGGATTGTTTGCTTTACTGTTATTAATTTGCCTCTGTATAGTTGTACCCTGTTGAACTATTTGATTGACTAAACAACCTCTAAATATTTCCACTGTTGGATCAGTGCACAGTTATTAAGTGACTGACACTCCAGCAGAGAAATGTATTGGTTTCCACAGTAAAAGCGGAATTTCAGTACATCACGATATTTTATGGCTTAAGAGGACCATCTGAACTGCCTAACTTCTACCATAATTCTTAATTTGCACATAGATAAATAGAAGAGTGTTATCTTGTACAACCTCCAATGTTAAAACTAATTTTTCCCCACTGATAAAAATAGATATAATTACACATAACACGTATAAAAGTCACACCCACTTACTTAAATTGAAGCTCATGATAAAGATTTCCCATTTCAAATTGCACTTTGAGAACTATCAGTTCATTTTTAATAAATTTAAGAGTTTTTGTCTTGTAGTGTCCTACTTTCTTAATTAAAATGCCATATGGTACCAGGTGAAATGCTTTGTGGAAGAAATCTAAATCTCCTGTGTCATTATTTTGCCCTTATTAATCAAATGTGTGATCCAACAGCTGTTGAGCAGCCTCTGTACAATACTTTTTCTACCTTTCATGATGGAAAAGTACCCTCCTTCAGGCCTGAAATAACTACAGTTGTCAGAATTTAGGAGGAGTCTTCTAGGTTTGTACATAAGACCTATTTCTGTTCTGACTTTTTGTGCATGTTAAATCAATTTTGTGAAAGTGTCCAACCAAGATGGGTGCCATCCATTTGTAGAGAATTCATTCAAAGTTTACCAGTCACTTGGGAAGCAGCCACAAGATGACTCAACTATCAACATTTGGTAGGGATCTGTTTGCATAGTATTTTGGAGGAAGCACAAGGCCATGACTCTTTCTTTTCTTCCCATGAAATTTCATACAAAATGATGACTTGGTACAGATGAATGCTTATGAACACCTCCACAGCTGGGATGTGAGTGGCTGATTTAATGAATTGTTTTAATTAGTTCATGTTCTGTGGACTTCACTGCACATCTGGACCACATGTTTCATCTCATCTAGCAAAGAAGTAATGCCAGAATTCAGGTCCAACTTCACTTCTATGGAAATCTACCTTCAGTTCCAACTTAAATACTAAGTGTTGACTGCCTTCTGAAGTTGGCTACTTCTCTGAGTTTCTCTCTAGGTTGTGGATATTTATGGTGTCTTTCCTTTTCCTGAATACCTGTGTCTTAGAGACACTCAAAGCCACTGTAGTTTTCCAGGTGTGAACTCCCCCTCTTTTTCTTCCTCTTGTTCCCCGTTCCCAACCCTCCTGACAAGCAGATAGCCCGGGAGCATTTGCTGTGGTCTCCACCGGTGGGGGCTGAAGGATGAGCTGGCTCCCACCCCACAGCAGCATCATCCTTCCCCTGGGACTGGGCTGATGGAACAAGACCTTCACCTCACTGCCCACGGCTCCTTTGAAAATTTGGTTATTGCACTTGTGGGGAAGACGAAACCTGAAAACCAGCTGGCCAAGGCACATAAAATGTTGGATCATATATTAATGAATAAGGACAGTAAGTCTTCACAAAATTTTTCTTGGGTGTATCTCCCATTGCTTCTCTTCTTTGTATCTCCATGTCAATTTGCTTCATCATTTAACCTATTTTTTTATTCTGTGTCAATCAGTGTCCTGTCTCTTTCAGTTACTCCTTTGAAGTGTCATTGTTTTGTGAGAGTCTGAGGACAACCATTTGCCACAGGGTGAGATGAGAGCCATCACATATGGATGGGTTAAGAGGAACTCAATCGGTACCTGCCCTTGAGATAGTACCATTCTTTTTTCTCAGGTTAAAATATTTCAGCCGTAAAGCAGAAGCTGCCAGTTTAAGGTGTTTGTTGCGGCCAGTTTATTCAGCTGCCCACGGGTGATGATTTTATACTCAGAGAGAAGTGGTTGTTGACTACTATTTCCCTGTGCAACTTTTGTCCATCATCACTGTGATATCTGAACATGGCTACCACCCTGCATGAGCACCGAGAAATATGAGCCTATTTTACTAAAGTATTTGCCTCTTGCTCTCTATTCCCCAGCAGGTGGAAAATTACAGATCCAGCTTGCTTGGAGAAAACATGAAACAACTAGCAGCAGAGTTTTGCATACTAAGGGTCCATAAATTCTGCAAATGACTGGCCACCTGAACTTGGCTTTACATGTCACTAAATAATGATAAAAGATTTATGTGCGAAGACCCACCTGAAATACAAGTACATTGTTGATGTATGTGTTTTCTGATTTTGAATATGGTGGCAAATTTGTGGCCTTCTCTTCTGTGGGGAAAAAAAAAAAAAAAAAGGAAACTGCATCTGTTTACATATGTGCACTCCTAATTTGTAAGAAATCCAGATGTTAAAACACTTGCATATCCCTGCACAAATAAATAGCAAATAAGGACAAGGTTTCTGAATTTAGGATTCCTTTTTAGTGCATGTTCTCAAAGGATTTTTCTTTTCTGAGTATAAAGAACCATTTCTTTTGAAAAAAGAAAATCAACATGCACCATAAATGACAACTTGTTATGGATGTAAATATTAATTATACATTGAAATTCTGGAACTGTTTTTACTAGAAGCTTGTTAGCTTGTTAATTATCATAATTATCATACAAGGGGACAGGGAAGAGAGAGAGGGAGACTGATTAGTGTTGGTAATTTGCCTCATCTTTTCTGTGCTGTTGCCTTTTTTTTTTTTCATTTTGGGAAAATTAATTCTGTGAAATTATCACTAGAGTGCTGTGTGCTCCAGGACACGTCTGTAGGATGTGGCATTGTTCTGGCAGAATGCAGACGTAATTCATGCTTGGCACTTTTCCTGTCCCTCTCCTCCTTGCCATGTTTGAGTCTGCCACTCTTGGGCAATGCCATATCGTGCACTTTTCTTCCCTCAAAATAAAACAGAAGTAAAAATAGGGACAGACACACAGTGCTCCTGAAACCTCAGGCAAATACAGGCTGACAGAGGAATAAAGGAAAATGGTGGTATTTTAATTACAACAGAATAGAGGGAAATTACCCCTAGGAGGCATAGGGCTGTTAGTGGGTACCACTGGGAACCACAGCCATCCTTAGTGTTTTGAAATAGTCTCAGGGCAAGATGCCTCCTCTTGCTGACCTGAATGGACTCATATTTTCTCTGCTTGCACCTATATGGATGGGACAGCCCTGGCTACTGAAAGAGGAGGGGAAAAAAAAAAAAAAAAAAAAAAAAAAGGAAAATACATAAGTCAAGTATAACTTTTGCTCATAGAAGAGTTTTAATTAACTCTGAGATAGGAAACAAAAAATGAGTTTAAATATCTGTTCCATCATGTCAAAAATTTACCTTTCGTGTTATTTAAGGTTCCATAGTGCTTCCTGGGTCACTCAGGATTTTCAGGAAAGATCTGGAAAAAAGTGGCTGTGAGTCCACCAAATCTGCAAAGAATACAGAATCAGTCAAAATCTGAAAAGGCTATTAGAAACTTCAGAGGCACCTAATCCGACTAGATGAATAGATGACATGGTACCAGACAAAGTTCAGCTCTGTTCAGACAAAGTGTTGCACACTGAAGAGGGAGAAGAAAATGGATCTGCTCATATGCCTTACAGGGTCCTCAATTACCTGTAGTGGTTTGGGAAAGGCAGCTGAGTGCCACTGTGGATGGCTCAGTGATCATTTGGATGTAGAACACAGCTCTAATTTATTGGTCAGGCAAGATGTTAGACTGCAAAAGGAACAGGATGGAGAATAATGTGCGAAATGCAGGCAATTAATGATGTAAATCGATGATGCATTCACATTTGGAATAACACATGCAGGACTGGTCGCCCAATACTCCCAAGTTTCACAAGAATCCTGCAGCAAAGCAAGACAGAGTTCAGGGAAAGGTGACAGGAATGGAAAAGGACATGTGACATTTCCCATGTGAGAAGAGACTGAAAATACTGGACAGTTTACCTTTAAAAAAAGGTAGAAAGGAGGTGATATGGTATAAGTATTGTAAAGGCAGGTTTTGATAAACAGCTAGCAAATAGAAAGCCTATTTGGCCTGTGTTACAATTCAGGAGCAAGAAAGGAGTGAGCAATTTGAAAAAGTAGCAATTTCGGAACTGATAACAGAAAACGTTTTGCACGTGTATCATTGGCCTCGATGCTACCAGACATCAGTTACTAAGCCTATAGGAGGAAGTGGTTTGTCATGATAGGAGTGGGCTTGTGGATTGAGCAACTGGTGCTGGGGACCCACCACCCACATTTTGTGCCTTTGGGGCTTTTACACTGGACTAGACCTACTCTGGTCCCAGGGACCAAACATTCAGCAGCAGCAGCGCGTCAGTCTTGCCCTTTGGGTGTGTACGGTGGTTTATTTTCATCCCATAGAAATGCGCCAGATAGAAATGAACACTCCATGCTGTGAACCAAAGCATGGCACATGGGGACCATGGAGAGAAATTATTCAAAAGCACACCTCAGATCCAAACTCAGATTTTAATGTAGATGTATCTTTTGAGCCCAAGAACATACTAAGACTGAAAGTAAAACTTGACATTTATACTGAAAAAGAATGTCAGAATTATACTAAAGAAACTCGGAAACTGATAGATATTTTATTTTACTTTATTATATTTTTATGCTTTTTTTTTTCTTCTTCTTTTCATTGAATGACTGTTAGGATGTAACATTTTGGGTTAAGGACCAAGGAAGATGCTTATAATATGGATCCCTGATGTCTCTTCATAGCCAGTCAATTATGGCATGAAATTAAATATTCAAATGTGTTTAATACAAATTATTTGATAAACATGAATTTATTCAGATAAATTTATAGGGTGTTTCTTGTGTTGTTTGTTTCTTTATGGCTCTTGTCCACAGTGCAGACTCTGGAGTAGCCTTTGAAATGAAAGTGTTCATATGTTACAACAAATCCAACAAATTAATTTTGAAAACTTCTTTTGTTGTTTTCAGGTTGTCAGAGTTATTCACAACTTTCACAGAACAACCAGAACCGGGCTGAGGAGACCTTACAGAACAAGCTGCAGGGTGAGGAGCAGGACAGTGGAGTGGGCTGTAGGAACACACGGGGTTTGAGATGATTGCCGCCACCTGATCTAGCCCGTCAACATAAACATTAGGATTGCTCTGGCAGACGTCTCTAGAGTGGGAGCACAAGGGGCACCTCCGTACCTGCACAGTAGGTGGCTCTAACACATTTGAAGATGGGTTTGTGTTTTGAGGAGAACTGGTTTCAATTAACCTCACAAGGTCGTTCAGTGACAGCTCTCTCAACCTTAGACTTATTTAACTGGAGGCAGGCATTGTTATTATTAGTGTAAATGGTATCTATTTGTTCCTTATTTAGGTTTTGCCTAAATAATACTCTGAAACTATTTACCAACTATCAGCTACCAACCAGTAAAGGGGACCAGGAGAGACAAGAGTATCTCAGCTCTGATAGCCAAGCCAGCACAATAATTCAAGCAACAAGAAGTCTTCTTGAGGGGTTTAGACCTGGATTAGGACACTGTCAGGAAACAGAAATTTGAGGGCATGGAACCTCCTGTGCTGGGCTCAGCTGGGCAGTGCTGTGGGGACAAGGGACAGAGGTGGGACATGGCTGTGCCCAAGCTGCTGGAATTGTAGCCAGCCTGCCAGCATTTGTGTGGCTGCAGGAGGGGGGACACATTTTCCTTCATGCTTCTCCCCCGACACAGGCACTGAACCCTTAGGGGTGTGTGACCTCTAGTACCAGTATCAATAACAGAAAGAAACCCAGCCCAGCTAGCTGTAAGGTCAGGGAGGGCAAGTGAAGACCACTGGACTGTTTGGCCTCTGACAGGTCTCAGTGGTTCCCCCCACAGCCCCTTCCTGCAGCCAGCACATCCCGACAAAAGGTCTCAGGAAATTGCCCTGTGGAGACCGCAGTGTGACATCTGGAAGATGCACCTATCTCTGGAGGACAGTAGTTCTGCTATAATTATTCATGTCTGCTAATTAACCAGGATGTAATTAGATATAATCACCCTGACAACAGTGTGCACCTTTTTTCAACAGACAAGGAGGAGGCCTTGTTGTCCACCTGTGTCTGATCAAAAGGGATAATAGAGGAGCAAGCCATTAGTGTGCACATGGTAAGAGAGCTGGGCCAGTGCTCCCATTGAAGTCCTGATAAGTGATACAGCCAAGCATCGGAGAAAATAATTAATTCATGATATTTTTTAAACTGTCTTTGCCACTATGATCTCAGTTGTCAGTAGACAACCTGTTTGAATAATGTTGCATTAAAAAAAGAAAAAAAAAAAAAAAAAAAAAAAAGAAAAAAGGCCAGGGAAGCTAAAAAAAGAAGAGAAACATTTTCTACATTATCAGCAGGGTTCAGTGAAATTATTGCATCCTTTTGTTACAGCCAACAACAAGGGAACAGCTGAAATGTTTTGTATCCATCTGTGCATGGCACCTTCCCAAAACCTGCTTAACACAAATGCGACAAGGGCCCTGTCCTCTGCTTATCCAGAAAGACCAAGATATGCATGGAAATCCCCCATCCACAGAAGGAAAGCTTCAAAATGTGACCTGGGAGTGACTGGGGCCTGTCCCAAGCCTCTCTCCGAGGGGCAGCTGGGATCCCTTTGCTTTAGCCCCAGTGGGGCTGCATGCAGAAAATCACAGCACCAAGGCCATGGAACCATGTCAGGGATGCCTCAACACCCCGGGCAGCTTTAGCCGAATTGCTGAGAGCAGCCACCTTCCCGTGTGCCGCTGACGGCAGCCCCCTGCCCTCGCCCGTTGCTACAGCCATGCCACCTCCCCCAGGGCAGAAACACTCAGCTTTCCCCCTTCCCGATGAGTGGTGTCCATCTGGCCCCACTGGAGGGCAAAATGGGACAACTGCGGTCATGTGCAAGGGGGTGCCCTGTCACCAAAAAGATGTTTTACAGGGTTCCTCTTCTAAGAGACTGCTGCCAGACTGCTCGCTGAGGCTCAGGCCAGCTGTCTGTAGGGACCTGAGGAGAAAGCATTTCCCAAAGGGAGACATGAATGTGCCTTTTCTGTACTGGGCCACATGCAAAAAATCGTACCAGAATGGAACCTTTCTTTTGCAGGAGGAGGTGGACCAGACCCAACCTCCAAATGTCTCTGAAGCAAGATGAAGCTCACTCTTGGTTCTCAGATCTAAAGGCTGAAGTGGTTTCTGCTCTTACATGGGATAAAAACAACATTTCTGGCCTTCTGCTTTAGATCTTAGTTTTTCCTCCTGAGCACTGTGCATAGCACGAGTAGTTCCCTCAGCAGCTTTGAATGATCATTCAGGATGCCACATGGTCACTAGGTTGTACCTGAACTGTAGAGCAAAGCTTTCTAAAGAACAAGGTCTCCTAAAGCAGAAACTTTTTCATATGTTTTACATTAGAAATAATTATAACCTAATACACTGCAGTAGAAAACACAGTTAAATGGCTTTGTGATAGATTCTGTGCTACGTGCTCATAGACGGCCAAAAAAAGCCATGCTGGGGTCAGAGTCAAAACACTGATGTAGTCAACGTCTGGAGCCAAAGAAGGCTAGCCAGAAGTTAGTCTCTGTCTAAATCATCCAGCCACTGCACACTGATTTTTTTTCTGCTCCCAGGGTTGAACACACGGGTCTTAGTCAGGCTCAGGAGTGATACCTGCACCTGCCCATTCTTGATTCACCCTGTACAGGACAAGTTCTGGATAACCACCAGCTTCTACCATCTGCGCAGGGTGGCACCAAGAAAACCTGGCTACAGTGAGACATCTGCCTTTTAACCAACTAGCTCAAGATACTTGGTCTTCCCCCATTCCTTCTCTGACACGAATTTGTATATTTTTTTCTCATTTATTTTTTTTTTTTTTTTTTTTTATTATTTTTCTGTTTTCTCTAGATACTACTGTTTTTACCTCCAGGGCAGATGTGGGCAAATCACCAAAGACAGATGTGTATCCTTGTTGCTGAAATCTTGAAAACATTTGAGGAGACTATAAGCTAGGTGTTGTTACTTATAACCAAAGATTCCTTACTCCTGTGGTTTCCCAGAATCACCTGCCTCTTTCCACGTCTTTGCTGTTTGACTGTGGGACCCTGACATGTACCATTATGAAAACGCTGCAGGCAAAGTACCCGTTAGAGAGACTCATCATCCCATTAAGTAGAAATGTCTCTACTGGCACAAAGTCTAAAATTTTGCTTTTTCTAGCTATTTCCCAGCATTTACTGTGTTCTGGCAATCAGTGCTGCTTACATTAATTTGCACAGAGCCACGATATACAGGAAAAAATGCAACAGACATCATTTAATCTCTAACATGCTCCAAGTCATATGTATTAGCAGAGGAATAAAAAAATATTTCAGGCTCTTTCAATATAAGCCACATCAATTTCGTCATTCCAAGTACATTAAAGTGCTATAACACACACCCTTTAACATGTAAGCTAAACCATGTAAGATATGCTAATGTTTTGCTGAGTTAGTTGGAACTCAGTAAACAAGACCGATGTACTTTTTAATTTGAAAAATTATGGTGGTTTTTTTTCTAGGAGGAGAAAAGGGTTCTAAAAGTTAATTTACAATATAGAAGGGATTTTGGTAAGTAATTAGAATAGATCCAGAATTTATATTTTTTTGTAACAAATATGGAATAGTGATACCCCATGGCTAATTTACACAGATTAATAGTAAACTAATTTTCATGTCAGAATTTATGTTTTCAGTTGAGAGTGATTCTCTACCAAACTGAATCACATTTTCACTTCATCATATCTTTAACAATGTAGCAAGGAATCTAACAATTTGTCTTCTTACCTAGTGTGCACTGAGTCTCTGTGATAACATTTAGTTCTCTGAGGTAGAGTTTCTCCTTGTGAGATAGATCTCGTCTTTCTAAATCTCCAAAGAAAACAAAAAAGAGCAATAAAAATGTGCACAGTTACCCAAACTCCCCCATAAACAGTGTCAAAGCATTCTGACAATTTTATTTTAAGGCAGTGAGAGTCTGTACGATATTACTGTTCCTACAAACATGGTGATTTTATAAATTAATTTTAAATTTAATATACACTGTAGGGACATGGTCAATTTTTCTGAGTACCCTGCCTGTAGTTATGATTTACAGAAAGACTAAGGAAACCTGAAATATGAGCTCAGATGCAGAAAACATTATCAAGTACTGAAGGTACAATCTTTTTTTCTTTTAATATGCCTTTTAAAAATATTTAAAAAAAATTAAAATACTGTGACAGAAGAACCAGATTTGACAATTCTGAATAATGAAGGCACAAATCCTAGAACCTCCCCAATCCATTTTTTAAAATTCTTCCACAGTGTAGAAATGTTGCCACAATTCAGGAAACAAAATCTAGAGATATACCTATATATAGCAAGAAATCACCAGCTAAATACTTAAAAATAAAATTGAGGTCAGTTTTCAAAAGGTACTTGCTGATCTAACCTCCAAATCATACTTGTTAACAGATTTTTCATTGGCAATAATAAAAAGCTTTAAATTACTTTGAAAACCGTAAGATAACTTTTCAATATGCCAGTAAAAAAAATAAAAAGTACAACATAAACAATTCAGGTCCACTTTTTCCAGGGTCTTTTTTTAATCAGTTGGCTCATGCTATAGCCAGAGAGACCCAGATTACATCCAAACTGTACAAAGACAAAGATTTTTAGAAGAAAAATTTTCAAAATACATACCGGGATATTTTCTTTTAAAGGAAGTCACACCCAAATATTCACTGACTTGCTCCTGAAGCATATAATATTCTCCTGTTTCATCTGGTGGCCACTTGTATTCTATCAAGTTTTCAGCAGGAAAATAGCTGTATCTAAGTATAAGAACAATGTTAGAACAAACCAAAGTAACCTTAAGAGGGATACTGACATTTCTAGAAATCCAATAATTCCTGTTTATATGACAACGAACAACATCTATGAAGTTGGACAAACACCTTAGAACACTGCATCCTGTTAACCCATGTCAAAGTCACTATGTTACACCCCACTTCACACACATTTCTCCAAACCAGCATTCATCACTATGCTGAGGGACAGAACATGAAGAAAGGGATATCCATGATAGCGGACAGGACATAGGGAAAAGCGGGTACTACAGTGTCAAAATTAATTCAACAAAATACGTAATCTTTTAAAAACATGTAAGCTGTGCTTCTGATTGTAAATTAGCTGCAGTACATTTTCTGTCATTCTAAAGTAAAATGTCTTAAAATATGCTGAGAGAAAAAGACAGCTAGCTACTCACAGGACATGGCCTCAATTCAGAAAGATATATGAAGAATATACCAGCAAATCAAAAAGAGCCAATACTTAAGCATATCGAACAATACAGTAAGACTAGCAATAAAAAAGTGGGAATTGCAAAAAATGGTATTACCCGAGGTCTTGACTAGAAGTTTCACAGCTCCGAGAACTGTCTCCTGAGCCCATACGTCGTCTTTTGGATGGCTGGCTGCCATCATTGGAATTTTCTTCTGTGTCATCCTGAAATTAAAATGAAGATAAAATATTTTAAAAATTAAGAGAATTCAACAGATAACATAAAACATCAAAAAATACTGCAAGGTAATCCACGGTTTAAATATACCTGAACTACTTAGCAATTTAATAATACACTTTACAAACAACTCATAGGACAGTTTGCGTAGCAAATAATTTTTTGCTACATACTAGCCGCATGACACACAGTGGCACAGAGGGAGAACTGAGTAGTTTCTCACCCGTTGCACAGGTGGAGCACTGAATAGACAGAGACAAGGCTCTGACCACCAAGTTTGTCGTTCTGGATGTAAACTACCTATGGCATCAGCACGGCCAAACAGCTGTAGACCCAGCAAACTTCCCTTGCTGCTCTCAAAAACAAAAGCAAGGGCAGAGCAAAACCACCAAGCCCTTGTTGAAAGCTGACACTTATAAAATAAAGGAAAATATTACCAAAAGCAATACAGGAGTTTAAGGACAGAGTTAAAATAAAAGGACTGGGTATATAGTTTACAAAAAGGTATAATTACAGCAAGTAGCAAAGACTTGACTTTTGTGGGGAAAAAATAAATAAAAGAAAAAACCTTAAGTTGTATTGCAACAGATATAGAAGAGAACAATGCTATTGCAAGGGAACATTTAGAAGTTAACTTACAGGTGCCACTATTCAGATTTCATGAGATATATATAAAGAAAGGGAATAAAGGGTAGAGAGAAAAAAACAAAACAAAACAAAACAAAACCACAAAACACCACCAAAAGAGAGTACCCTAAAATCTAGCAGACCAGTGATTCAGCTGAATCTTCTTGTGTTTTCCACTGCTTCGTTGTCCAATAACACTATACAACTCCTACCTGCACCATCATCAACTCCAACTCTCAAACCATCTAGTGACCACCCTTACGTGATTATAATTGAGAAAAAAAAAGGCAGAAGCGTTCAAGTGAATCGTCTGCTGTCACCAGTAGTAGAGCCAAGAACAAGACAGCTCTTTAAGTAATTGAAACTCTGGAGTAGTATGAAAGAATCATGTTTCAGAACTTCTGCAAAAACTTTAAGAAAGAAGAATTAACCTGTCAGAAACAAATGAGCAAGCTCAATTATACTTACTTATTAAATAATTACAAGAACAATTATTCGGTCTACCTCAGCTAACATATTTCATTCTAGTATGTTTTACATACTTGAAATACCATTAAAAAAAGATTCCAGCAAATGAGAATACATTACTTTTGTTATGTAACATTTCATGGTACTATAATCAAAACAGACCACAGGGAAAAAGCATTTGTCTCCTGTATTTTTTATTTACTTGATGTTTTTCACAATTATTCATATTTTTTTTCTTTCTCATGAAGTCACAAGAAGAATATCTCCCGTAACAAATACTGAAAAGCAAAAATTTAATGAAACTGTGCTTTCTTAACTCAGCTATAAAGAATCAGGTAAGTAGCATCCCCACTAGCATTATTAGTAATACTATTTCCTAGTATTGCTGAGAATACCCAGTATAAACTCAATCAGACAAACCAAGTAGCAGTCCCCAATCAAAACAATATCACATGAGAGTATTTTGCGCCACAACTATGTGTCATCAGTACTTCATCCCTACCTCCCACACAGAACATTAATGCACTCCAAACCTTTCCAACTACTAGACAAAAACATGAACAAGGTCTAAACTGAGCTACCAAGACTTCAAAACATTTTAAAAAGATAGATCTCAACCTGACAGTTAAGTGCCTCACATCAGTTTCTCTTTTTGCTTTGAAATTTTCTTTTCTTAAATCCAGTAGTTAAAAAACATGAGCACCTATACCACAGGAGGGACGAATGTCCTCCATTTGCATCTTTGCTTTCTTATTTGCTGAAAGCTTCTGTAAATTCAATCACCCAGGCTCCCAGACTAAAACAGTGTAGGAAGTGAGACAGTTTGTTGCAGAGGACTTTGCAGGAAAAGTGAAAACACTTGCACTGCAATTTAAGACACGCTGTAGTTCAACCACTGTTACTGTACCAAAAATAATAATTAGGGAGAGTCTTGTGACTTTCTTTACATGGAAAGTCAAACACTGCCAAAAAAAAAAAAAAAAAAAAAAAAAAAGGCAGCCTCTTCCTCCCTTGAAAAACGCACGTTTCTGTAAAAGCCCTGGTGGTCCTTACGAAGTGAGGATACATTACGAATTCCTTTATTACGTAACCCGAAAGCCTGAATTACCAAGACGTCCTTCAAAAAGTACCTGCCAAGCCGCACACCGAGCGCGGGCGCGGAAGTCGCAGCGAGCGCTCGGTGCCACAGGCCGCGGCGGGCAGCGCGGGCGCAGCTCCGCAGGACCTCGCGCAGCAGCCCGCGACCGGACCCAAACTTTGCCGGGCGCGCCGCCGGGGCGCTGCCGCCGCCCGGAACGAGCGGCACGGCCCCCGGGCACCCAGCGCCCGCCCCAGCCCCGCACCCGAAGTTCGGCCCGGGAGCGGGAGGCCAGCCCGGAGGAGGGCGGGGGGTGAGGTCACGGCGCCCAGGCCGGGAGGGGAGCCGGGACACCGGGCGAGGCCTCCCGCCGAGGCGGCTGTTGCGCCGCAGCCCCAGGCCGCCGCGCTGGGCCCGCAGCCCCGCGGCCGCCGCCCGCTCTCACCTTCAAGGATTGTGCGCTGGGCGTAGCTGGGTCGCTATCGCAGAGGCGCGGGGACAGGACGGCCGCCATGGCCGCCGCCGCCGCCGGCTGGGAGAGGAGAAGCGCCGCCGCCGCTCGACCCGGCCTCGCGCCGCGCCCGGCTCCGCCCCCCCTCCCCCTGCGGGGGGTGGCAACGGCCCCTACCGGCCAGCCCGCGCACGAGCGCGGCGGCTCGCGCAGCTCCTGCTCCGCCCCCCTCCGGGCAGCCCGCGGCGACCCCGGCCCGCGCCGCCGGACCGGCACCCAGCCCACCCCGACGCCGCGCGGGCCCGACGCCGCCGCCCCGCCGCCGCCCCGCCGCCGCGCCCTCCTCCTCCTCCTCCTCCTCCTCCTCCTCCTCCTCCTCCTCCTCCTCCTCCTCCTCCTCCTCCTCCTCCTCCTCCTCCTCCTCCTCCTCCTCCTCCTCCTCCTCCTCCTCCCCCTCCTCCTCCCCCTCCTCCTCCTCCTCCTCCTCCTCCTCCTCCTCCTCCTCCTCCTCCTCCTCCTCCTCCTCCTCCTCCTCCTCCTCCTCCTCCTCCCCCTCCCCCTCCTCCTCCTCCTCCTCCTCCTCCTCGGTAGCGCTTGGGCAGCAGCGCGGGGCGGAGGGGCAGCATCCCCGCGCCCCGGTTGGCGCCGAGCGCCGCCGCCGCAGACCAATAGCCCCACTACTGGTCCCATCGAGCCTCCACTGCTGCCGGCAGGCCCCACTCGAGGAAAATGCTCCCACTCGCCCACAGTGGTGCTCAGCCACCAGCCAGAACGCAGCTGACATTTCGGGTAAGTTTAAGGCCCGGGGCAGGTAATGACATAACTCGCGCTTCCATCGAGGGAAACGACTGGAAATTTGCACCAATATCTACGTGTGCAAAACACGGCTTCCCTCCCGGCCACGCTTCTCCACAGATTGGCATTTCATCCAAGATGCAACCGGGAAAAAAGGATAGCTGCCTTTTCTCACAAAAAGTGGGCTTTTAAGAAGACCAATACCTGCAATTTATTGTAAACGTTCGTTAACAACTCTAGGCATGCAACAGACAAGAACATTCAAAATTTTGCAAAGTTTGGCCTTACACCAGCTGCTTCAACTTCCACAGCAGAGCATTACGACAGATGAAGCCCATATGTACTCAACCATACACATTTCAAAAGCTTTTCTTGTTTTTTTGTTTTTTTTTTTTTTTTTTTGAACAGAGAAAAATGAGCAAAGTAATCTCAACTATATGGGCCAACAGCACTAGGACAAAAATTGGTACTAAAATAATGACATTCTGAAATTTTTCAAATATGGCAGGTACTGTGATACACAAAACCACTTTAGAGTATTAATCGTAGTAACAAGCCATTACCAAAGCCAGTGCAATAAATGTTTCAGTTTCACATTTTGCTGAAACCCAAGTGTCTCTCTGATCATCCCAGACACATCTGCTGGCAACCTAAAGGAAAGAAAAGAAAAAGCCCTTTGTGAATCTATAAACAGCCTAGGTTTTATATTTTTCTTAAAAGAACACACAGCATTATATAAATACTGTTATAATTGCATTATCGGATTTAAAAGTAGTAACAACTGCAAAAAAAGTAGTGTGAACATTAGCAAGTCCTGTTTGATGACAAAATACATGCTTTTGCTTCACCGTGAAGATCCCACACCCTATTAGATCCAAAAATCTCTACACCAAAACCTCAATTCTCTCTCATGATCACTTGTTAGCACTTTAGCGTACTGTAACAGCACCCCTTCAAGAGCAACACAAATAGACATTAGTTTTGGGAACGTAGACAACTAAGAAGTCACATCCTCTGCTCCTCTACTTCCAGCTTACTCCAGTCGACTTGTGACCATTTACGGAGCTCTCGGCTTTTTTGACAAGACTGTTTTCAAAGCTAAAAGCTGTGAATTGACTGCTGAAATAAACGTTATTCACTCAGACAATTTCAGTAATCCGTTTTAGCCTACAGCTCCTCAGCCAAAGTACAACTTCAGAGGCAGCGTAGACAGCACCTGAAAAGTAGGCGGGTGCAGGCCCCTCACAGACTGGCTTTATTGCTGAAGCTGACCACCTTTCAAACGTTGTTTTGCGTAACCCACTAAATACAGGTATGGTTTCATCAGGTTTTAAGAGGTGATGATGAACACTCCTAAACAGAAGTGCTCTGACACTCAGCAAGATACCTAAAAGCGTTCTGAACGCCAATGGGAGCTTGTATTACATGTAAATTTATATACAACATGGGAAAGTCTGGAATACTTTTCTTTTGGGTGTGACAAGTTTGGATCACTAATGTTAACGTGTAGTCCCAGGAGCATGTTTGGTGGCAGCTACAGTTTAAACAGTTTCCATGCCTTTCCCTGCCACCCATTCCTTTCCATGCCACCCCACACTTTAACTACATGGTATTTAGCGCCAAATGTGACAACCCAACTGGAGGCCAAAATATGTTGGAAAAAGAAAATTCACTTCAGTCACGCAATTGTACTGGCACAGCATGCAGCAGAAGTAACTGGTTGACAGGGAAGAGCAGCACAGGCAGCTTACCACCATTACTGAAATCAAAAAGACAACCACCTTCTTCGCAGGGTGGGGTAGAATCACAGCAGTACCTCAAATTGTGACCCGGCATACTACTCCCCATAAAGAACCTAAAGGTTTGAAGATCACCTCAAAGTAGTTAAGCTGCTGAATGCGGATTAATGCCTTGGAGATAACATACAGTTCTAAAAATTAGTTTCAATTTGCAAAAGATACAAATAATTTGTTGACTCACATTTATTGCCTGACCTGTCTTTTCCACAATCTGTACTAATACCACGTACTTATAACGGTCAAAGTTGAATTCCTTCACAGCCTTTAATATTTCATCTGCGAGTGAAACACACAAGGAGGGACTAGAATCTCGATCATATTTGGCTTGCTGGAGTTTATTCTATCAAAAACAATTTTGAAAGATCTTAATTTTCATCCTGGTAGTCTATCCCAAAAAATGTTTTACAGTCATTTTTATTACAAGAACATTAGAAGAACTAATGAGTAGAACAGTCAATATAGATGATGCTCTCAAACAGCAAAGGCTGCACTACTTTTACTCTAAAATGTGTTATCTTTTTTTTGAAAGTGACAAATACATCCAGCCAATCTCCATTTAACAAACAAGAGTGTATTCCTCTCCATCATTTGGGCTCAGTTCATTGGAAAATAGTGCTACAAATACCTGCTCCAAATATCCAGGGCATGGCTTCCAGATGGCAGAATTACAAGAGTTGGTTATAACTATTCAAGGTATCACTAACAGCTACATATTATCTCGAACAGCTTGTTCTTCATTTTTGCTTATTTTTTCTGTGTGGGAGTCAGATTGACAAGGACACCAAGTATATTTTATACAGGTCCTGTGATACTGGAATAACTAATTGAAGGTATAGAATTCTACAAATTCAGTACTGCCATAGCTCAATTTGATTTAGAAATGGTAACAGTTTAGAAAGTTTCAGCTCCACATTAACAGCACACAGTATTGACCCTGCAGAGGGCCTTCTGCACTTTGCGTTGCAAAACAGAGCACACTCACTTTACATTTGTGTGCAAAAACTTGGAAGACTGCAAAGGTTTATGTAAATGTTTAGTTTATGCAACTCACACTGTGCCATTAACATAATCTTTGCAAGACAAGCTACTTTTGCAATAAAATTAGACAATTAAAAAAATACTATACCGTTAGTATCTCTTGAGCTTTGTCTCTTACTAAATAATCTCGAAATTTATTATGTGACTCCAGTCTGTATGTATTAGCATATCTTATCTTCGCCCTGTTAGCTTTGGATGCCAATTGCTTAGCTTCCACTGAGTCAGTAAAACACTCTTCTTCAATTGGAGCCATACCTGAAGCTTCGTAATTTGATTGTGTCCTTTTCCCCTCCATCTGTGCAAAATAATAAAAAAGTCCACCTCACATGTCAGTATTTTAGCATTTAACAATCTCTAAGTAATACTTTATGGTGTACAGTTAAGAGGAAAAAAAAAAAAAAAAACAATTAGTCTGGGAATATGTTACAAAAAAAAGCAGAAAAGCTAGAAAATGGGTATCTTTCCTTCTGGCTGCTTCGACACACACAAAAAAAAAAAAAAAAAAAAAAAAGAGAGAGAACAGTGGTTAACTTCCATTCAATTTTAATTTATTTTCCACCAGAATCTAAAGTGATTCTGTGATGATTCTAAGTTTGCATTGAAACTCAGTCAGACACACCATACCAGCACTCTGAATCCACTCCATTTTCCAAGTAAAAATACACCGATATTAACTCATGTCCAAGATTGTTAACTGCAACTTCAAGCTTTTCGTTCAAACAGCCTACACAAACCCAAAATATATGCTTGGTTCATTTACTACATAACTTTCCTCATCCCCATTTCTTGTGAAGCTACTAAACAAATGCCTTATGTATTAATGACTTAATTTGCTCTGATCTGCAAGCTTTGTAATTTTGCTTGGAACTTAAGAGTAGTGATACTTTTTATTTGTCAACAGAACTCTGAAGATCCAAGTTTTCTCCCCATCCAGCTTCTGTACCATCATTCTCTTCAACACACGTCACAAAATTTGGCCCTCTATAAATGCAAGCTGCAAGTCTGATGATGCACACAAAAGTTGACACCTGCTGGCCTCCATGGATGGCTTACAACAAAACTGTAAAATTATAACAAAACAAGACAGAAAAAGCACATGAAACCAATGAGATCAAAACAAATGCTACAGACAGTGGTCTTCCATACCAGCTACCTCCTAACTAATCACTTTCAAGTCTTGCTGATTCTTCAGTCCCTTGCTCTTCTTCCTGACTACAGCTAGAAATTAGGTGAGAGAAGATCATCAGTGCCCTCTCAGAAGAGCAGAAAAGAGCACAAAGGTGATATAACACCACAGCGCAAGGCTTACATGAAGAAGTATAGAAAAAAATCAGACATTTATGGATAATATTAATAAATAATTTTCCAGTGAAAGTTATCTGGAAAGATGCGCTACTCAGAGGCTCATCAATCAGTTGGAGGAATTTGAGAATAAGGGAAGGAATGCAGTTTCTTCTCTATGAAATCACTTACATGTCAGCGCTGTCAACACTGTGGACATTACCTACATCTCTCCTCTGGTTCCTTACTGTTAGATAATTCTGTTAAAAACCAGGGATTTTGGCAGTCCTAGTGAAAATTGGCTGCAGGTGTTTGTTGATTCCACGCTAACAATGCAAACTCTGAATAGTACTTACACTATACTAAAAATGCAAGGAGCAAACTTATTCAAATTTAGGCTGTGAACACTCATTATCTTCTAACTGAAACTCAGATCTATAGACTATAGCCCCTACTCGCTCACCTCAGGTCTCCTAACAGGATAAAATGCACCTCAAGTCTGCCAGCTGAGCTGCTCAAATGAGCATCCCAATCCATGTCAGTGGAAATAAATCTGTGATAAGGGTCACAATCCAAAGAGTAATTCTTTGCTAGCATGGTTCACCATGAGTCACAACAACGTCAGCCTGTACCATTACAGATGGAAGACAATTCATGTCTATCACACATGACTTCTAACAATGGTGCTACTAACAAGTTTAATTACCATAATTAGTGACAGAATTTTTTGTAACCATTTCCTCATGTGCAAGAAGCCATTTACTAACAAGGCAACCAAAAACCCTACTGATATCTCTATACAAACAGCTAACAAATAAACCTAATTCTGTACTTCACAATACAAATACTGTGACTCCAAGTTTTAGCACAATGCTGCAATTACATTTCTGTACAATATTTGCACCCTTTGTGAAAGAATCTCTCAAAAATTCAAGAGCTGACTTTGCATTTGACTACACAAAAGCCTGTTCTTACGTTACTGGACTGTCCTAAACTGGCTTCACTTTAGGCATATGGAAGTAGGATGAGAGAAGGAAGCTTTTGTTACTTGATAGAAACACTGTTTGTTAATAAGCCCGTTTTAACAGCCGATAGTTGCTTTAAAGAAACAGTTCATGCTTATTTAATCAGAAGAGGGCACACCCTCCTAAATTAAGAGACTTTACAGCAGCACCCCAAATTGGAAAGACTGCACCACCGAAGGGGGAGTCCACCCTCGCCTTCTTTTTACCTTCCTAAAGCTTTCACAACCTTGCCTCCCCGCGCCTGAGGCGGCTCCCCGGCTGCAAGGCGGATGCGAGCGGGACACCCGACCGAGCAGCGAGGGGACGAGCCATCCCAAACCGGAGGTAAGGCAGGCGGGAACGGCGTTTCCGATACAGGCGCACACAGGATCACGCTCACCGCCGGCGCCTCCAGTAACTGAGGGCCCCCCAGCCTCCAGTAACTGAGGGGCCCCCCAGCCTCCAGTAACTGAGGGGCCCCCCAGCCTCCAGTAACTGAGGGGCCCCCCAGCCTCCAGTAACTGAGGGGGCCCCCCAGCCTCCAGTAACTGAGGGGGCCCCCCAGCCTCCAGTAACTGAGGGGGCCCCCCAGCCTCCAGTAACTGAGGGGGCCCCCCAGCCTCCAGTAACTGAGGGGGCCCCCAGCCTCCAGTAACTGAGGGGGCCCCCAGCCTCCAGTAACTGAGGGGGCCCCCAGCCTCCAGTAACTGAGGGGCCCCCCAGCCTCCAGTAACTGAGGGGCCCCTCAGCCTCCAGTAACTGAGGGGCCCCCCAGCCTCCAGTAACTGAGGGGCCCCCCAGCCTCCAGTAACTGAGGGCCGCCGCCCGCCGCGCCCCCCCCCCAGGGCTGCCGCCCGGCCCAGGAGGCCGCTCACGCTCTCTTCATCACGCTTCCCTCCCCCGGGGGGGGCTGCTGCAGAATTCGACATGGTGCAGCGCCGCTTTCCCCCAGGGCAGGGGCGGGCGGGCACAGCCACCTCTCCCCGTCCCGCTTCCGGCGGCGGGGCACGAGCCGCCTTCGCGCTCCTGCCAGGCCGGGGCTCTTCCCGCGCGAGCCGGGCGTGACGCTACGCGCTAGCGTAGCGTCGTGACGCAGGAGGGGGCGGGGTCCAGCAGTAACGGAGGTAATGGCAGCGGGCCGGCATGGCGGGGTGGCGGATTCCGGGAATGAGATGGGGGTGGGAATGACAAGACAACGGGGGGTCGCGGCCGCCCTCGCTGCCCGGGGGAGCGCGGTAGCTGCGGGCTCGGCTCGGCTCGGTTCTGTTCGGTTCGGTTCGGCTCGGCTCGGTTCGGCTCGACTCGGTTCGGCTCGACTCGGCTCTGCCACCCGGGGAAAGCCGGGGCTCGGTCACGGACTGTTCCTGAAAACGGCCGCCACCCGCTCCTGGTCTGCCCCGCTCTGCGGGGCGACTGCGGTAGTGCGCGCTTTGCGATAGCCTCCCGTCTCTGGCGGCGGAATGTGGGGGGCCTCAAAATAACGTGAAGGACCGAATTACCTGTTTAATGAGCATTTTTTTTTAAATTTTTAATAGCTAAGATACTCCTTATAGGAAGTGTTATACTTGTTCTGTGTTGTTACCCGTATGAATACGTAGTCTCTCCTCAAATCCCTGAACTCAGCAAGTCTGTACTGTGAGGGTCAATTCCACTACCTAATTAAGATGCAAAAATGGTTTTAACGTTAATGAAATCTTTTCCCGTTTGTTGTGATACTTCATTTTCAAACGAACTCTTGTCAGTCTTTTGTTTGATTAATGAGGAAGCATGACTATTTACTAAATCAGAAGCATTTCACTCTTTGTTATCATGAGCAGTTCTATCTTTGCAAATTATTTAAGTTAAATGTGTGCTTTTGAATCAATCCATCCTTCTCTTTAGACTAATGTTCAGATAACACTTATGCTTAGATTGTTCTACCGTTACTACTAGTTCATACAGAATTTATGTACGTTACCTCCTCCCCCACCCCAGTGATTTGCTGGTCATAAGGACTGAAGCTCTTGGTTTTACTTGAAGTAGCACCAGTTTCCCTGTAAACTCAGAGATTAGACAGAACAGTTATATATAAACTGGGATCTTTTGCTTCAATCTATCTTGGCATCAGTTCAGTAGATATAACCATTCAGAAATATACCATCCTGGCATTATGCAACTAGAGCAATTCCTCCTCTCAGTTTCCACAAGGTGGTTCTGCTCAGAGCGTTCCTTTCATCATATACATAGATAGAAGTTGCATCACAAACCTTAACAACTTGTTTTCAGATGCTGCATTACTATCTGTATATCTGTGCTTATGGGTTTACTTCAGTATTATTTTTGTTTGTTCTCATGTACTTTCTTAATGCAGGGACTTTTTGTGTGTGTGTTCTAGATGGCCTTGCCACATTCGGTCACTACTTGTCTTTCTCCACCTGTGCATTATGTGATTTGCAAACTTGGATTTGAGAAGAAAGACAGCTATGATATTAATACTATTTTATCTGAAAATGGTGAAGTATGTTGGCAAGCTGTTACAGAGCATGTGTGCTACCTTGAATCAGGTTGGTGTTTACCTGCTGTAGTAGTGATATATTTAAGACTGATGCAGAATCTCAGTACAGTTCATAGCAATCATAGTTTAGTTATAACATTTTATTACAGTACAGCGTTAGCTTTGCTGCAGATTAGAGTACATACAGTTGATATCTGCAAGGAGCTTTAAATTTTTTCATCCACGTTTGGTATTTGGTTATTGTTGGCTCATGTAATCTGTGCTACTTCAGTAGCTGCTCCTTTGCTTCCTCATTCATCTTGGTTTTCACCTTCATGTGCCTGTACATAAAGGGTTCAATTTGTTCCTCTTCTGCCTCATAATTTCTTTATTCTGTGTTGTTTATATCCCTTTTTCAGTAAATTTAAAACATTCTAGGGCCATCAGTATTCCTACTGTTGCTTCTGGTTTTGATTTCCCCAACTTTAGCTGGTACAGAAGTACTGTTTGGTTTCCCTTCTGTATGTAGAACAGTTTATAGCTGTTTTTTAAACAAAACAAAGTATGCCCTGATGAACTTGTTGAATTTTAAATTGCTAAATTGCATCATGCAAGCTCTGTCATTAATTTCCAGAGATGGTAAAAAGATGGTACATGTTTCTGCCTCAAGCAGTATATTTCAGTACATGAGAAGAATTTATTCTCCTATAAAAATGTCCCACCAAAGAGGAGCAGTGATCCCACTCTGTAAGGTACTTCTGCCTTCTTTAAAAGGTGTAAGTGGTACAGGTTGACTGATCCTTCTGAACCTGCACTATCTTTCAACTTGGTTATGTGGAATTTTTATACTCTAGCAGGTAGTAGGTTCTTCCCATTTCAACAAAACCAAAGCATAATAATCCTATTTATTTCCATATTTTCTTGCATTAAGGTTGTGTTAGGTTTTGGGTTTGGCTTTTGTTTTGGTTTGGGTTTTTTGTTTGGTTTTTTTTTTTTTTTTTAACTTGGAGAAGGTACTTGATAGTATCTGGGTTCACACTGCACTTTTAATTTTCTATATCATATCTGTGTGGTCTTTTGGTCAGTAAACTGTTGTATATTAGGTGTGCTAAAATAGTCTGAATAAAATTCTCTGTGCCAAATACGTACACAAGCTGTAGCAGGTTTTACTCTTTGTGAGTTTTAAAATATTGGATCTTCAGGAAGTTTGGGCCTCTAATCACCTTTTGTTTTTCAATTTAAGATCAAAGTGTGGATTATATCAAAAGCATACGATCATTAGGACCTGTATGTGAATCTGTTAATTTGCACTTCAAATCTCTGACCAAGGAGCAATTTGTAATTCAGTACGCATTATGGTTCCGCTGGACAAACTGCACAGAGGTATGGAAATGTCTGTTGACAATTTGTATTTTGGCACATTAACCTTCTGTGGAAATTTAATGTAAGAACACACAAGAGATATCAATGAACCAAAATACTTAGAATTTGTAACTAATTGTCCCTCTCTGATACATAGTTGCTTCTAGTATTCCTGACTTTGTAAGTAGATTTTATATAAGTTATCACAAAGAGAACATGAGGTGCTTTGGGCCTGTTCTAACCTAAATTGGTAGGATTTTGGTTTTCTATTACTGTGTGCTTAATACCAAATTTTACTGTGTAAAGTTATTGTTGATAATTTTTATAGATGCAAGGCACTAGATGCATTGCAACTAAAAATACAGGAGGTGGTCTAGGGCAATTTCTTTAGAGACATCTGGAAAGATGCATGCTTTTCTTTCTACATTTGCATAGCAACTATCACAGAGGAATATTTAGGTTTCTGTGCTTCTGACAATTTTATTTTTCCTTCTGAATATTTAACACAACATTCTTCCTCTTCCCCATCATACAGTTATTTCTTGAAGTATTTGATGTTCTACAATATACACAAAATACAGAAGTTGCTCTTGGCTTAATGAAACTAACATCGTGCTTGGAGCGAGCCTTGGGTGATGTAAGTGCTGGCATGAGGAGTCTATTGCAGATTTGGTTTTATAAGATGGGAATGAGCTCCTGGATTTAATTGAATATTGAAAAAGTGAGATTACCCTGTACTGTAGTAGTACACTAGTAGCCCAGCTTCATTTTGAGTTGGATAGATGTTCTTTTCTGGATCCGGTTGTGCTAATGGGAACATATTGTGGGGTTCCTTCACCTGTGCTGGTAGAGTTGCTTGTGTGAGTGCTGTTACTAACCAGTTTCATTAAAAAAGACCAAAGTTTGCTTAATCAGTGTACATATAGTAGGCCATTGTTACTCTGATTTATTTAATTGAAACATGGAGCAGCATACCTTCCACAGAAGTTCTGATGATGTAGCTTCTGTGAGGAGAGGCAGGAGCACACTGCTAGATAACTTATTTCCTCAGAGCTCTGTTTGCAGAGTCTACATCTGTTTAAATGCTTTCACACAAGTCTTGTGCCACAAAAGCATCTAGAAGTCAGATAACAACTTAAATTCTTGACCTAACTGATCAGCTGGATAGATTTAGGATCCATCTTGTTCTCCTGAATGTTTGTCTTGTTAACACATTCCTTCTTTCATTTACCCTGTAGTAGTTAGTAAAAGTATGCACTCTTGTTAAGCTTAAAGAGTAATACTGCAGGAGTTCCATGACCAGCATGAGGCGAGGATATGAGATATGACTTAGACTTAGGAATTCTGACTGCTATTAGGAAACTTGTATTGTGAATCTTTATTGATGGAACGTGAATTAAGCTATAGTTCAACGTTTGGTGGTGGCACTGCTAAAGTTTGTTCAATCACTCTTCACAGTCATCTGCTTTGTTTGCTGGTATGTTATGTGAATGCAAATATTTTAAGGCCTAGTAGCAAATTAGATTGCTGAACTGATCCAGGTACCTTTTGACCTTTTTCCCCTACCCCCGTTTTTGTTTTTCATCTGCATCGATGCCTTGATCTGCTTCACTGCCTGACCACAGAAACAGATGTCACCACTACTTATGGGTGTGCAGGTTAGGGAGGAGGGAGCAATGGCTGTTTTCAGAGGCTTTGGTGCTGGAGTGTATTGCTCACACATAAGATAAAATAGCTGGTTGTTTAATCTATATGAGGAGCTTTGGAGAAGGAAATGCTAGAGAAGGACAATGGGCTAATTCACACCTAGAGAAACCCAGTTTGCCTAAACATGGGGAGTGGTAAATTCTGAAGTAATGAAAAATTACTAAAGATTACGAAAAACTGTCAGGGAGGATACAAAGAATGGAAGGCTTCATAGTGGTTGAAACTAAAGATGCTGAGGTTGCCCAGCTAGCATAAAATCTAGTTTAAGGAACAGCCAGAATCAGAAGATCAGTCACAAGTCTCCTTCTTTAACAATTACAGACTCAGAGATTTCTAGGGTAAGAATGAGGTATGGTGTCCTGGATTCCCTTAATTATGTATTCTTATTGTGCTTTACTTTTTTTGTTTTGTTTTTACCTTTTTTTTTTTTTGGGGGGGGGTGGGGGGAAAGAGGAGCAGTAAGTGTGCAGACACTGTGAAAAGCCTAACTATGGGAACATTAA